GCGCATGCTCCCGCGCAGCTCCCCGGCCCGCACACACACACACACACACACACACTCACACACCATCAATCAATCAATCAATCAATCAAACCCTTTTTTTCAAGTTTTTTGTTTATTTATTTTCAAATTTTGCATCTTTATTTTTCTAAAACACCTCATACCCCTGCAAAAAACAGAAATTCATTTCTAAAAAATACAGGTGAACTCAGGGACCATATATCTGATGATAAAAAATGACAAAAAAAAATTCCAGCTTTTTTTTATTTTTTGTTTTTTAATTTTCTTTAAATCGAATTTAGTTTTTGATTTTTAAAAAATCCTAAACAAAGTCGGATTCCAAAACAAAAAATATGGGGTTGTAGGGCTTAAAATTCCCTACAACCCCATATGTTTTTTTGTTTTTTTTTGGGCTATTATTTAATTCAGGAAAAATCTGGGAAAATCGGGTCCGCGACGCGGACCCGGTAGGCCGCGGAGGCGGCCGTGAATACGTCCGCCCTCCGAGCTCGACCCCGCGGACGCAGCCCATGACTCTTCGTCGTCTTCTTCTTCGCGGTCTTCGGTGTGATTTCCTTCAGCACAACGTCGTCATCCTCCTCGCTTCCCTCCTCGTCATCCGTGCACTGCCCCTCAACCACTTCCTCAAATTGCGCCCCCTGCACACCTCCCTCATCCGCTTCAACGTCGGTACGTATCCTCGAGTACCTTGCTATGATCCTCTCTATCACCTGGGGGTACTCTGCAGCAGTCGCTTTCGTCACCGTTCCTGTAGGACCGGTCTGCTGCACTGGCGAGCGTCCCGGATCGCAGGAGGACGGCAAAATGCTATGGCTCCCCCTGCATGCGGACGATGACATCAGCGACTGCTGTGTCACCGTTTCATCTTCACGGGCGTCCTGCATTGTCACGGACACACCACCTTGCGACCGACTGCCGTGCTCGACGAGCACGGTTCTCGAGGCATCCATTGTGCAACTCGGCGACAAGTGCAGTCAAAGAGGATCAGATCATCAGACCCCCCGCCCGCGGGATCCGCCAAGAGGGAGGACATCGGACCCATCCCCGGGCCGCGGTGATCTGATCGAGGGGCAGGCTCGTACGAGGTTTGTGTCGACCCCAAGCGAGAGGAGGGGTGGAAGGTGGCTGCACCCATACCTCATCATCCGGCAAAGGCTGCATGTAGGAAGGCAGGTGCGCGTACAACGCAGGATCGAATCAGTGACGCATTCCGTCAGGAACCCCGATGCGCACCCCCGTGCCCATCCTGTACATCTTCCCCGCTGGAAGACTATCATCGCCCATCCCCTTCCTAGCAGTCGTTCCTTTGCCGACCTTCTTCGCTGCCTTCTTTCGTGGACAAGCCGTGCTATGCGTCAACAACTGGCGTAGTTGCAGCAACACAACCACGAGCAAATCCACAAGGACGAATGTCAGCAGGGCAGTCTTCCTTAAGAGGTCTGCCATACACACACGTGAGGAGAGATGTAGACAAGCACAAGCCGTGGCAGTGATGAAAACGACAAGGCGTCTGCTTCCCACTGAAATGCGGGCACTAGTAGTGTTGTGCAACAGCGTCGAGGGACGTTTGTATCCTACGTGAAGCCGAACAGGGAAGGCCATCAACTGGCCGTTCGCAGGTAAGGCGCTGCCAAACGTGTGCTCCGAATTCGAACCACCGCCAACGGCCACTCGCCGCCCCACCGCTTCCACAATGACCTTCGTGTCGTCCCAACGGCTACGACGGCCTCGCAACCGTACTCAGAGACGGCAGTACCGGGTTTCGTCGGTGCCACTTTCCCGACCGAAGGGCCGGACAGTCCCGGACTAGTATCCACTGGACCAGGAACGTCCGTGGTTCACCGGGAAAAGAACAACCCCGCGGCAGTATCTGTCAATAATGCGCCACGTAGGTCCCCACTCTCACATTTCTAATCACCTCCGCAGGCTCCCTACAAATTTTGTTCCTTTTGCCTGGGGCGCCCTCATTTTGTGAGGGCGGACCCTAAAACCCGGGAATGTAGAAACATTCTGCAGTTCGTTTTTTTCGTCATAAGGGAGTGGTGGAACAACGATTTTGTGAGGATCCTTACATTTTTAGTGGTGTGGAATGAGGCCCTATCTCCGGACTAGCATCGGCCTCGGATACATTCGGTACCCCGCTACTCAGCAGTTACAGCCTGTCCCTTCTTACGGGTCACGGTGTTAACTCCTGCTAATAATCGTCATGTCTCTCGGATCAGCAAAACCAGAACCAGTGCCGTACCCTTTCACCGTTCACGGGGTCGGTGAACGCGGGCCGGTCACCGGTCATGAAAATCGTGACCGGTGGTAGTTCAAGGAGTTCACGAAGAGCGGGATCGTTTTTTTTTTGGGGGGGGGGGGGGGGGGGAGGGGGGGGGGGGTGGTTATAGGAGGGTGGGGGTCATCGGAGGGTAACCCCCCAAATTTTTTTCAAAATTTATTTTTACGAATAATATATATTTTTTTAACGAAAAAAAAATGCAACCAGCCAAAACGAGCATTTTTGTTTGTTGTTTTGAAGGTTATTTCGATTTTTTTTTTTTTTAATTTCACCATGCTGTGGGGCTTGAGGCGACTGTATCTGGGTGAGCCCGGAAAAAAAAAAAAAAAAAGGAAAAAAAACACCGCTCTTTCGTGGTCTGGCCGTTCACAGGCGCAAGGCCAAATGACCGGTCGGACACGTTCACGGTTACAGCACTGACCAGAACCATCAGAAAATGCCGGTACGCCTTTGGAGAAAACCCCCCGAAGCACTATCCCCAAATAGTCAAGAATACTATCCCCAGCAACGTTGGCCAATTTGACCAAGGCCCCGAGAGAGACCTCCGGGGGATAACCCCAGAGGTAACTTTCCACGATCGCATAGGTGACCACGCCCACACTCAGGGCTCCGGAGGTAGACAAGTACCACAATCTCTTGAGCGTAGAAGACAATACCCCTATTTTCATCTTCTTATCGGAGTTGCTTGGAAAATTCTGCATAATCTGATATCTCAACTTGCAACCAATTCTTAACGCGTTCGTATTCTTGGTGTCTTGTACGGTGTGCACCTGAACTGCATCGGTGTCCACATACAACGCCCCGCCAATGAAATTCCATGTATTGTTGTCGTCGTCCTTGCGCACCAAGTTGAGGTTCAAATCATACACCTTCTTATACAGTTCTACAACAGTCAGCACCTTCTCCCATGATGCGGGACCCTCTCTGCATACGACCAGTATCAACACGTCGTCCACCATCCTCCATCCCTTCACCAATCTACAATTAGCTATGAAACACCCGCGGACTCGTCCGCGGGTCTGATCTCGGATGGCGGACGCAGATGGGGCCGCGTCCGCGGCCGACCTGGTCCGCGCCGCGGACCCGATTTTACCAGAATTTTCCTGAATTAAATAATTGGTTAAAAACAAAAAAAACATTTGGGGTTGTAGGGAATTTTAAGCCCTACAACCCCTTTTTTTTTTTTTTGAAATCCAACTTTGTTTAGGATTTTTAAAAAATCAAAAACTAAATTCGATTTAAAGAAAAATATATATATATATATAAAGAAAAGCTGGATTTTTTTTTTGTCATTTTTTTTCATGAGATATATGGTCTCTAAGTTCACCTGTATTTTTTTAGAAATGAATTTATGTTTTTTGCAGGGGTATGAGGTGTTTAAAAAAAATGCAGATGCAAATTTGAAAATAAATAAAGAAAAAACTTCAAAAAAGGGGTTTGATTGATTGATTGATTGATTGATTTATTGTGAGTGAGTGAGTGAGTGAGTGTGTGTGTGTGTGTGTGTGTGTGTGTGTGTGTGTGTGTGTGTGTGTATGTGTGTGTGCGTGTGTGTGTGTGTGTGCGTGTGTGTGTGTGTGTGTGCGAGAGAGAGAGAGAGAGAGAGAGAGAGAGAGAGAGAGAAAGATTGTAAGTGTGTGTGTGCGTGTGTGTGTGCGTGTGTGTGTGTGTGTGTGTGTGCGCGCACACCGCGCCGCGCTGCGCCTGTGCTGCGCCCTCGTCCGCCCGCGCAGCGGATCTTGGGGGAGTGTGTGTGTGTGTGTGTGTGTGTGTGTGTGTGTGCGTGCGCGCGCGTGGTGGGTGGCGGGGGGGTGGGGCAACCCCTCCCCCACCACTCAATCAATCAATCAATCAATAAAAAAAAAGCAAAATCAAATCAATCAATCAATCAATCAATCAATAAAAAAAAAAACAAAATCAAATCAATCAAATCAATCAATCAATCAATCAATGAATCAATCAATCAATGAATCAATCAATCAATGCATCAATCAATCAATCAATCAATCAATCAATCAATCGCGGGGCGGGGCAACCCCGCCCCCACCAATCAATCAATCAATCAATCAATCAATCAACGGCAAAAGAAAAAAAGAAAAAAACGCGTTCATTTTTTTTCCCTTTCATTTTTAATCGTTCGCTGCCCAAACCCCCCAACCAAAACATGCTTTTTTTTCAATTTTCTTGTAACAGCCATTTCGTCAAAACAGACATATTATATTTTTTGAACGAAATCAAAACTGACTTTTTTTGCCAAAATCCAGTCGGAATTTTTTGCTCCTGGGGGTCTGGCATTCCCAAAACGCCGGACCCCCTACATGTATCTGCTCTTTGGTTAAGACCAGATCGGTCTCAACCGTAGACCAGGAGCAAAAAATTACGACGGGATTTTGGCAAAAAAAGTCAGTTTTGATTTCGTTCAAACAATATAATATGTCCGTTTTGACGAAATGGCTGTTTTGTGTGGTGGGGTAGAGCAGGGGTTGCGCCGCCGAATGGCGGTTCCCGAATCCCAGGACCCCCTCCCCTCTGGCTGCCACGTGGCGCCAAAGTCGCGCGTCCGCGGGCTCGCGGACTTGTCCGCGGCCGCGGACTTGGCCGCGCCGGTCCGCCGCCGGGGGGTATTCATAGCAATTAGACCCCAGTGAACGTAGAAATCTGGCTTTTGCCATCGAACAGGTAACTGTAGCAAGCACCGGGCTCATGGTCTTTCCCATAGGGACCCCTACGACTTGAATCAGATGAGTTCACCACGTCTCATAAAAGTGTGCGCAAGATCATACTCCATCATCTTGAAAATCGTATGCAGTTTCACCTTCACAAAGCCAGCTTCCCCTTTCCCTGTCCTAGAGAGTGTGCACAGTCTTCCTCTGAACGTCACTCTTACCTGTTGCCATCCTTCATTCTCGAAATGTCGGATGAGTTCACACACATCATCCTTGATGGCAGTGTGAAGTATCGAGGAGAAGGAGAACATCTCCTTAATGTCATAACACCTGCCGATTGCACTGATACAGCCTAGCTTACTGAAATACACACTAATCTCCCAGAGATCTCGACACAAAGTCGTCGATGAGTTGAGATGGAAGTGTTTCTCCGCCCCATATCTTGTGACGAGACAGTATAGAGCTCTAGCACACCTCTTCTGACGCAGCATAGCTGGATCGTTGCAAGCAGGCGCAATGGGTCTCCATCTCTGGAGATCTTTGTCCCTTAGAATAATGTACGCATTCCCCAATTTCCCGTCATTCCTCCAAAGTCCAAACCCCAACCGATGTTAAGTTCAAGCTTACGTAATCACGTTGCAATCAGCAAGTACTTGCTTCTCTTCCTTGTCAACCTTCATGTAGTCCGCATTCCAGGCAAACATGCTACCGAAGGCGTGCCTTTAGAGAACAAGACAGACCACATCTATGTCACAAATGTTCTGATCGACTGGTGAAAATACCAAATCCTCAAAGCGTGATGCCAAATTCTTGATATCGAGATCCGTCCATGTCTCCCCATTCCGCATAACATTGATGAAACAATAACCAACGTCCAGAACAGCATCGTCGTCGCACTTGAGATATGTAGTCCCGACCAGAAGCCCTTTAGTGAGTTCAAATCTTTCATTCATATTCGCATTCACCGACACATTCCTAGAGTTGCGAACAAAAGCCGGTACATCTTCCATATCCGCGAACTGCATCAAGTTGTCAACACATGACCCTCGTGTTTAGCCAAAGCGTAGCCTGTACATGTACCCACTGTCGGCATGGTGTGTGCATATTTCATGTGTGTATGGATGATCTCCGCCACGGATTTGTTCCTGGTGTTAACGATCCTAAGCTTCCTCTTGATGAATGTGGCGATCACAGTATCCACTACGTAGGAGTATATTACCATCTTAGTCAATCTCCTGACTTCAGTCTTTCTAACCG